GCCCACCCCCTCTCTTGTTCTCTTCAGCTATTGTCATAGCCATTACTTTACATCACAGGGTGTTGCGATGATGCATCTGCTGATGCATCAGGGCTTGGGCAGAGCCTGGCTCCCCAGCCCCGGCGTTCATGTCGCTCTTGGTTTTTCCCCCTTTTTCCCTGGGTTCGGGGAGCTTTACTTTGGAGCCCTTTTTCGCTATAACACAGAGGGACACGGTCGCTAGGCCGACCAGGGAGCGACGAGACTGGCGTTGGTTGGAGGGAGGCGAGGGTGATGCCGTGCCGGTGCTGTCGATAATCACGTGAAAAAAGGCCCATAGCGGGCAGATGAGGACTAGGGTGGACAGCTAGCTCGAGAAGAAGTGGAGCTGGGCGGACCCCTCGGTTGCCCATTCCTCCCTCCTTTCTGGCTGGGGCTGGCTTTGCTTTGCGCGCTCCTTTTCTACGTACCATAACGCAGGGACCCAAAAGGCAGTCGCATGGCCGAGGGGTTAAGGCGGCAGTCTTAAGAACTGCTCCCGTTATGGGATCGCGGGTTCGAACCCCGCTGCGGCTATAAGCTTTGATCGTCTTCCTTTTGGTGGGCGGACCGGCGATATCAAAGACAAGGCTGGAGCACGGCAGGAAGCCAACCGAGCGCACACTTGCAAACTCTCAAAGGAATCAGCCGAAATAGAAAAGATGCTGCTCGCCAGGGGATGGCCTGCAGCCTACTGCTCCCCCGGCCCGCCAGATCGGCACTGTCGTTGGCACGGGTTCTTTCGCGAGACCCGGGAGATAGCGCCTCCTGTCGTTGGCTCGGGGCCACCACCGGCCCCAGCCAACGCCCTAGCATACAGCGTGCACGACCCCGATGCACGCTGCCCCCGGGCCTCTAGGGCCTTTTCTCCTCAGCTCCCCTTTTTCTCTCTCTTGGCACACCCAATACAGGTTCGTGAAGCGGCAGATAGGGGGCGCTACCTCCCGGGGTCTCGAGACAGAACCCGTGCCAACGACAGCTATTCTGAGCGGCAATGTAGCGGCTAGAAGGACCAGACACTGTAGTGCAGATGAGGCTGGGAAAAGTGAAGGGGGACTACCACTATAGCGCTGCGCGCGCCCCTTTTAGAGACGCGTCACCAAGTTGGCTCGGCTCGCGAGGGGTTTCGGCTCGTGAGCGGCGGTTGACCTACAATGCGCGTCTCGTGTGGCGCAGGCCGGCAGCGACGGGCCAGAGCCTTGTCCTGGCGACTGCAAATGTCAACGGGCTTATCGTCGGCACAGCGGCAAGGGAGGTCATAAACATGATGAGCGATTTCGGCATCAACGCGCTGGCCCTACAAGAGGCGCGTCTGCCGCCAGACCAAACAGGCCGTGTCCAGCGATGATTTATTAAAGAGAGCTCCAAGCAGGGCTGCCTACAACAAGAGAAAAGGAGACAAGAGCGACTAGAGTGCCGGGGCCGGGGCCGGGGAGCCACAGCTCCACCCAAGCCCCGATGCATCGACAGATCAATCGTTGCAACATCCTGCCTCCCCGCAGCAGCACCCTGTGCACCATGTGCCGCGGGTTGCTTGGCGCTTTTTTTTTCCTGTCTGGCTCAAAAGTTGACATCAACAAAAAGGGATTTACTTGGGGATGGGCAGCGGATGCAGCGTGTGGTACAGCCGCAGGGCCGCAGCCAGCAGGAGCACCGAGTTGGCCTGGTGCGCGGACGCGTTGGCAATGGGCACAAAGTCGACGAGGGTGGTGATGCCCAGCGCCACCTGGAGCCAGGCCAGGCCGTACATCAGGTGCAGCGTCGCGCGGGACGCGCGGGGCAGCGGCTGCCTGCGCGCGCGCCACCACAGGGCGGAGAGCGCAAAGAACGTGGTCATGGCCAGCGTCCGGTGGACGAGCTGCACGGTGGCCGGGTTTTCGGTGAGGTTCCGCCACATGGCCGCCGGGTCGCCGCGTGCGTAGAACGGGTTCCACAGCTCGGCCAGCGGCGGCGTGATGCCGGCGCCCATCGTCGGGAACTCGTTGTATATCAGGCCGGCGTCGAGCCCGGCAACCATTGCGCCGGACAGGCAGGTCGTGCCGACGAGGAGCGTCGCGGCGGTGATCCTGCGGCGGAGCGCGGCGGTCTGGGGCTTCAGCAGCAGGGCACGCAGCGCGTCGGCGTCGGCAACCTTGTTTTTGGCCAGGCGGTTTGCGCGGAGCACGTTCCACCCGTACAGCGACAGGCCGGCGTACAGCAGGTACGCCAGCGACAGGTGCGACGCGAGGCGGTACTGGCTGACGCGCGGGACGGCGTCGGGGCGCTCGGCCAGCTCCTTGTCGAGTCCCGACGAGACCATATACCAGCCCATGGCGCCCTGGCCCAGGAGCAGGAGGCCCAGGCCGCCAATCTTTGCCGCGCCAGCCCGCGTCACCTTGCCCTTGGACACAAAGTACGCGGCCGGGACCAGGTAGACCACGCCAAACAGGCGGCCAATGTTGCGGTGGAACCACTCCATAAAGTAGATCCGCTTAAAGTCGTCCAGCTCGATCCCAATGTGCACCTTTTGGTACTCGGGAAACTGCTTGTACTTTGCAAACTCCTCCTCCCACTCGTCCTCGCTGGTCGGCAGCTGCGCGCCCGTGATCGGCTTCCACTCGACTATCGACAGCCCCGACTCTGTCAGCCGCGTCAGGCCGCCCCACACGACTATGCCAAACACCATCGACGCGCAAAACAGCGACCAGTGGCCGACGATCGGCGCGTCGACCGTGCGCCGCGCGCTGCCTGTTGCCGCCGCCGCCGCCGCCGCCGCCGTCTCCAGCAGGCGCCGCTGCGTTGCTGCGCGCGCCTGGAGCACGGTGCGCCAGCAGCCGCCGCCTGCAGCGATGGGCGGTCTGTGCCGGGAAAGGAGCGCGATGGAGCGGCGGCCGCCGCCGCCGCCAAGGGCCGGCAGGCGCAAGGCAAACCTGGCAGCAAACATTCGCCAAAGGAGAAAGTGGAGCCAATTCAACACGCAAATCCAGAGCGTGAGGAAAGAGACAAAGATCACCCGGGGGATTACTGTCATTGAGATCCATCTGCTGCAACCTGGGAGCTGGGAGGGGCCCTATTGGCGCGGGGGGACTACATGTTGTTGCTGGGCATGGCCGCCTGAACCATCTGGCCCATCTGGCCCACCTGGTTCATCTGGCCCATCGGCGACGACTGGCCCATCTGGCCCATCGGCGACGACTGACCCATCTGGCCCATCGGCGACGACTGGCCCATCTGGCCCATCGGCATGGTCGTCTGGGAGCCGCCGGCGCTCATGATGGCCTTGAACGCGGTGCGCACGACGCGGTAGAGGGCCGAGGCGGCGTTGCTGGGCATCGGGGTGAGCTGGATGCCGTAGCTGCACGCGCTGGCCGCGTCCACAATCGGGGTCAGGCCCGCGTCGGCGATCGCATCGGTCGGGCACACCGGGACGTAGTAGGCGCCGCCCGCGCGCATCACGCTCGACGACACCATGGTAAACTTGCCCGAGGCCGGGTCGTACACCTTGGCCATAAACACCGGGGCCGATGCAATGCTGCTCGTGACGTGGCTCAGGTCAAAGTACGACGCCAGGCGTTCGAGCAGCGACTCGGTGCTGGGGCCGGGGACGACTGCGGGCATGGGCATGGCCGTCGGCACCGCCATCTGGGGCGCCGCAGAGCCGGCCACGGCGGGGACGGGCGTGGCGCCGGCGTTGGAGCCCTCCGTCTCGGACACGTAGGTCGACTCGTCGCCCTGGTCGGGGGCCGAGTTGTCCTGCGCCAGGACAGCGGCGGCAAGCACGATCGGGAGGATGGCAAACTTCATCTCTGGCAGCAGGGGTGTTGTTGTTGGTGGTGCGGAGTGGGGAGGAGGATGGAGGTTGTGTGGGCGGTAAGAGAAAAGACAGCCAGCTGCTGGTGTAGAGTCCAGACAGCAGCTGGCGCCGGGCGGGCGCCCTTTTATGCCGCGGCCGGGCGGGAGCTGGGGGGGAGGCCACGCCCGCGATCCGGCGCTGTTGCATCTGCGACCCGCTCAGTCGATGTCAACGAGCTCCACTGTGAAGACGAGCGTGGCGTTGGGCGGGATGCCGGCGTCCTCGAGCCCACGCTGACCGTACGCCCACTCGGGCCTGATGGTCAGCCGCGCCTTCTCGCCCTTGGTCATCGTCATCAGCGCCTCGTCCCAGCCGCGGATGACGCGCCCCGTGCCGACCTTGAACACCAGCGGCGTGGGGGCCTTGCGGCCCCGGCGCTCCGCGTTGCTGTCAAACACGGTGCCGTCCTCCAGCGTCCCGGTGTAGAAGACGCTGACCCGGTCGCCCTTTGCCGGGTGCCGGTCGCCGGTGCCCTTCTTGAGCACCGCCTTTTCGTACTTTGGCTCCTCTGCCTTGCGCTCCGCCGGCTCCGCCGGCTCGCCGGGCGCGTCCTGCGGGGCGCCGGCGTCTGCGGCCCTTTCCTGCCTGATCGTGTCTGCTGCGGCCTCGTCGCTCGCGCGGAACTGCTTGGTCGCAAACAGATCGGCGTAGGCCGCCACGAGCGCCGGGCGCTTCGCGGTCTTGGCCACGTTGGCCAGCTTGCCGTTCAGCTTGTGCGCCAGCAGGAACGCATTGCTGCCGCTCTCCTGCAGAAACGCCACCAGGTCCTTCTTGCTCACGCCGTCGCCATCGAGCTCCTCGGCGCTCCACCGGGGCTGGATTTCTGACGCCATCATCGATCGATGATAAAAAAAAGGAGGGGGCGGCAGAGGAGAGAGCGGCCAGTGATCACACAGGGGGTCTAATCAGACCAATGCACCTCGCCAGTTGCAGATGGTTGTCAGTCGCCATTGTTGTCCACCTGTCGCTCCACCCCCCCCCCGCTCAACTATTTTCATGTCATGGACGCCCCACCTCTGCGCCTGGCTACTGACGTGGGCGTGTGGCGGGCCTGGCGGCTGCACACGCTCGACGCGCGGCGGGTGGGCGCGGCCCGGGTCGGCGGCAGCGCGGCGCTTGCGGGGCTGCGGGCGGTGCTCCTGGCGTACACGCTGGTCGTCTGGGCAGCGGCCATCCAGGACGACGCCGAGCGCGGGCGGCTGGGCGGGCACTTTGCGTACCTCACCCACCTGTGCTACACGGGGCTGGTCGTGTACCTGCTCTCGTCGCTGGTCCACGCGGTCGACATGTGGCGCCGCGGGGCGCCGGCGCTGTTTGCGGGCATGCCGCCGGCGCTGCGGCTCGCGCACTGGCTGCTGTTCGAGTCGGTGCTGACGTTTGCCGTGCTGGTGTCTGCCCTGTACTGGTCGCTGCTGTACCGGCCAGAGTACCTCCGCACCGCCAAGGAGCGGTGGCTGACCGTGTCGGTGCACGCGGCAAACACGGCCGCCGTTGCCGCCGACGCCGCCGCCGGCGCAATGACCCTGTCCCCGCACTGGACGCACCCGCTCACGCTGTGCGCCATCGGCGCGCTGTACCTGGCCCTGGCGTACCTGAACCGGGCCGTGCGGGGCTGGTTCCCGTACGACTTTATCGACTACGACAAGCACGGGTGGGTGGTGGCGCCAATCGTGGCGGGCATCATGGCGGGGTTTGTCGCAGTGTA